GAATTTTATTGTGCCCAAAAATATGCCCGTTTGTATTCTAAATAGGAATTCAACATCAATCTGCAGACATTTGGAAACCTAAAATAGCCTTTTAGAGCAGAACAATTTCACAAATATCCCAGTAAGTTTCAAAATGCAGTCCCAGTAGATCTGTTCTTCATCAGATAAGTTATCATGTTCCCTTTATCTATGCACATTGGTTTGTAAAACTTATGATACCTCTGTGGCTAATCTTAAACTAATTGTATTGTGTAAAAAAATTTTACTGGCACATGTCTACAATCCAGTGACTCCTGTTTAGTGCTTTACATTATGAGAAGAAGCTTCACTAAAACAATGCCATCTGGCAAAGTGTATTTCTGTTTACTATTACACATCAATAATGTGCCTGCAATGATCTTGGGATCTCATTAATTGTGCAGATAACTGTTGTGCCAATACAGTACCAGATGTTTGCAAAAAGTTTTCATTAACTTTTTTTTCCTTTGAAATGTATTTAAATCATTATAAACAGTGTTCCTGTCTTGTTTTTACAATCATACACATTTTATTTTTTTATTTTTTTTTTGCCTGATGGTTATTGAAGATGGTTGTAAATATCATTCATTTAATTGGACGTTGTCATTCACAGATTGGACAGATTACAATTTAGCCTAGAGGTATGTATATATTCAATCTGAATGTTGCATTCAATTGAATATATACATACAAACAAAATGCACTCAAAGCACACATTGAGAATTCACGATTTTATTTTCTAATAGAGAGACATATAAAACTGATGTGTTTCAAAAGTAAAATACACCCTTAATTTTACCTCCTCCTCCCAGTTCCTATAGTAATTTAATACACATGGTACAAATTAAGTAAGAGGCAGGATATCAGATCAATAGGAATTTTTAATCTGACGGATAAGAGTTTAACAAAGCCTCAAATTGAGATTTTAGATTTTTTGTCCCTTCTGATTTTAACCATTTGATACTTTTATAGATATTAATAAATTCATACATAAGATGTGTAATAAACTATTTTTTTATAAATCGTCTCCTGCAGAACAAACTGAATATACCCAAGATTTTAATCGTACTCTTCTTAAAATGAAATCTACGTTCTTCCCCCAACATCTTATTAATGTATGTATGAAGGTATTCAAACGACTTGTTAACCCCTTAAGGACAGAACTTCTGGAATAAAAGGGAATCATGACGGAATATTTCCGTCATGTGTCCTTAAGGGGTTAAGGAGGAAATATGAAACATAAATAAAAATAAATGCAATAGAGATAATATACGGAAAGTTTCCATCAAAGAAAGGTGATTAAAGAACTTCAATCAGACAATAATATAATCATTAGATCCACCGATAAAGGCGGGGGAGTGGTTATACAAGGTAGGGAACAATATATTCAAGAAATCTATAGACAATTAAATTATCTTACTAGTACATACAAGGAATTAAGAAGTGACCCCACAGGGCAAATAAAAAAAGAGTATTCTTCACTTTTGGATTGAGGTAGAATACTGGGTATTCTAAACAAAAATGAATTCAAATATCTGGACGTTACTACTTGTAGAATCCCAGTATTTTACACACTCCCAAATATACATAAGGACGAGAAGAACCCACCTAGCAGGCCAATAGTATCAGGGGTTGGGCCACTTTTAAGCAATCTGTCTGAATACACTGATACACAATTACAACCTCTAGTCACATCTCAGCCATCATACTTAAAAGAATATACTTCCCTGTTGCAACTCTTTACCAATATAAAATGGGAGAGTAATTTCCTACTAGTTACTTGGGATGTCACAAGCTCATACACTTATACACCACATATATCGGAATGTAAAGCAGTGGAACATTTTTTGAGACATCAGAGCAATAAAAAAGAGAAACAGATTTTATTTATTTTGCATGGCATCAAACTTATTATTTGTAACAATTATTTTTGGTTTGAGGACAAGTTTTTTTGCAGTTGAAAGGAATTGTGATTGGAACCAAATTCGCACCCAGCTATGCCAATTTATTTATGGCACACTGGGAGAATCAATTCCTTATGGAGGATAGTAGCTGGGCGCAGAATCTGGTTCTTTATCGCAGGTTCATTGATGATATTTGTTTTATTTGGCAAGGTAGTGAGGAATCGTTAAAACCTTTTTTAGATTTTTTAAATCACCATCATCCAGATATCAAATTGACTAGTGAATGTAGCAAGTTTGACATCAACTTTCTTGATTTAACTATATATATTGAAAATCAAGTTATAAAAACTAAAACTTTTTTCAAGAAGGTTGATGTCAATGGCTGCATTGATATATCTAGTTGCCATCACAGCCCGTGGCTACAGAACATCCCTAAGGTCCAGTTCCTGCGGTTGTACAGAAACTGCAGTGATATGACAGTATTTGAAGAACAGGCAGAATCTATTTAAAATAGATTGAGTGAAAAAAAAGTATGATTCAAAACAATTGGATGAATGTATAAATACCATTAAACTTCATAATGATATTTTAAGCAAAAATAATTTTAGAAATAAAAATGGAGAAGATAACCCATCTGGTCCTATTTTTTTTTAATTATAGTGAGAATGTTAAACAGGGTAAGCACGTCATAAATAAATATTGGCATATTCTTAAGTCTGAGACGAATTTAAAAAGGATTACTGGAGAAAAGCCACACATAATATACAGAGAAGCAAGGAATCTGAAACAATATTTGACCACTAGCTTCATTAAAAATAAAATAAAAATTTTTTTGGTCTAGAGAATTTTTTTTATCCCTGCATAGCTTGTGTGGCATGTCAAAAACTATTTTTACTAAACAGAAACATACCGCCTTTACCTCATATTCTACTAGGCAGACTTTTAAAATTAACCAAATACTGACCTGGGAATTATTTCCCTAGTGAAGAAAACACCTTTCACAACAGTTGGCCAGATCAAGAACACTCTCCAGGAGGTAGGTGTATGTGTGTCAAAGTCAACAATCAAGAGAAGACTTCACCAGAGTGAATACAGAGCATTCACCACAAGATGTAAACCATTGGTGAGCCTCAAAAACAGTAAGGCCAGATTAGAGTTTGCCAAAAAACATCTAAAAAAGCCATCACAGTTCTGGAACAACATCCTATGGATGAAAACAGAAGGTGAAAATAATCTGTCACAAAATTATGTGAAAAAAAGGGAATGTAGACAAAATACTTTATTAATAAAACTAAAAGCAGTCACAGACACCTGCTCAATCACTGATCACTGCTATCCCAATAATGGATAATCGAGGTAGCAAGTGTGATCGAGTGATATACCTTAAGTAAGAGATTTATAAGCGAACAGGAATGGGAGTAGGATAAAATACAATGAATGTACAAAAAAATGGGCAAAAAAACCCAAAAAGAAAAAGAATAAACGTAATAATAACCAAAGAAAATATAAGAAAATAATAATAAAATGGCAGATAGCTGCACGGAATGTGCAGTCTAATGGCAACTGAAGCTACTGAACACTGTCATAATAAACAGTAATATATATACAAAGTAGCTAAAGTAAATGACAAATAGATGAGCTGAGTAGCTACAAGTATAAAAAGAGAAGTTGCCAAATAAATGGCAACATAAAGGTCAACGTGCAGAGAACAGCACCTGAACCGTAGTTGCCATATACTACTATGATCAGTGAAATGGCAAATGGTACTCACTAGGGAGTTAAATAAAGGAACCCCCAGGTGATAATAATAGGTATCTGTGCAGTGCACGTGGAATATAAATGTTAGTAGCTACTAAACTGACATGCAAGAGTACATAAATATGCCAAGTAGTAGACTTGGGCATTTCAGAAATTTTCGTTTCGTACGAATGTATTCGTACGAAAAAGAAAATACTTTAGTCAGAACCGAATTTCGTCAATTCTTTCATTCGTTTTCGTACGATATTCGGTAGTATTTTCGTTTCGGCTAAACTTGTTTGTTCATTCGGCGCGATTTAATTGAGCCAAATGAATTGAATACATAAAACTATGTTCCCTAATCCCTAAATACCGAATAGCTTCAACCGAACTCAGTAAAACCATTCGTTTCAAATGTTGTACATTGCTAACAACATGGCATTGATTGAATTGTATTACGCTTAAAACTCCCGAACCGTCAAATGCACGAACGCTGGCATTCGCATGAAAATGTATTGGCGCTATTAGTAAATTACCGAACACCATTCACTATAGTCATTCGTATGTCGAATGGTATTGCAAATACAATGCAATCATAAAAGTCAGTTCCCTAATCCCTAAATAGCGAATAGCCTCAAGTGAACGCAGTAAAACCATTCATTCGTTTACATTTTCGTACATTGATCTCCCAACACATGGCATTGAACAATGTTCTAATCTATTTACGCCTAAAACTCCCGAACAAATTCCCGAACCGTCAAATGCACGAACACTGCCGTTCGCATGAAAATGTATTGGCACTATTAGTAAACTACCGAACACCACTTACAATAGTCATTCGCATGTCGAATGACATTGCAAATGCAATGCATTGCTTTTGCTTAGTTTCTTGGGCTCATGAATCATCATGCTTCCCTGACAGGTGGTACTGGCAACACAGTATCATTTTATAAGGGAGTGGGAAAGAAGTAGTAGCCAATTAAATAGGCTTTTACATACTGCCAGACAAAACTGTAGAAAAAAAAAGTATCAACTCAAGGCAGTCCTTCAATGCAAAATCTATCCAGATTTTCTATAGGCCAGCCATTCAGCCATTTTGGAGCTCAGCCAGCCCACCACCCTGTCAGCCATTTTAGGCACTTGAACACTGAGCCTGCCAGAAGTGGCCATGTCCTCCTCCAGCTCCTCAAGTGAGATAGTAGTCATGGATGTAGTGGAGGGGGGCATTGGCCACTCTGGCCAGGAGATAGGAGAAGCAAGTGGGAGAAGCAAGCAGAAGCAGAGGCAGCCCAGGATCTTAAAAAGAGCAGATCCTGGGAGGAAGAATAAATATGCAGATAGCTTTCGTGCAGAGGAGAATACAGTACTGGTAAACAAACTTTGCCAGTACTACCAATGTATATTTGGGGGAGCAGCCAAAAAGAGTTCCAGAGCACAGAAGGAAAATCGGTGGAGGAAGATTGTGGCAGCGGTGAATGCTGTTGGAGGGAACAACCGCACCGAGGACGTGGTGAAGAAACGGTAAGTGCACTTATATTCCTAAAAAATAATTTTCTTTATGCCATGTTTTATTAAAACTTTTTTTTTTCCTCCATGTGCTTTTGCTACACACACCCACTAGTGGCAGCTATGCTTTTAAAGTCTTTTAAAAGTGAGGGTTGGGTCACTTAAGCACATAGAGGGAAAAAACACCATGTGCTTTAAAGGAACACTATAGTGATAGGAATACATGTTTGCATTCCTGTCACTATAACTGTGAAAACACAGTTTAACCTCCCTCTCAGCAATGTAACTGTAATTAAAGGGACACTCCAGTGCCAGGAGAACAAACCGTCTCCCACCCCTCATCCCAGGGGGAGACCAATTGTGCATGCGCTGCCGCCGGCGGGGTGAGACCTAATGCGCATGCGCTGCAATGCTGCACATGCACATTAGACCTCCCCATAGGAAAGCATTGAAAAATGCTTTCCTATGGGGGTTTCAGCGACGCCACTAGAGGAGGAGTTAACCCTGCAAGGTAAATATTGCAGTTTATGAAAACTGCAATATTTATTTACAGTTGCAGGGTTAAGGGTAGTGGGAGTTGGCACCCAGAAGTGGTCTGGGTGCTTGGAGTGTCCCTTTAATTACTCATCCTTATAGCAGAGCTGTGCTCTGCCTCCTTGGCTGCGATCTTCATAATTGACAAGATCAGCAAATCCAATGCTTGGTCTGGGTGCCTATAGTATCCCTTTAAACATGTCAGTAAACATATATATATAGAAACATATTAAAGTAATTAATCAATTACACATGTCATCATGTCATTGCAGTTACTACGACATCAGGCGGATGGTGAAGAGGAAGGTGAAGGCAGCAGCCGCCTCCAGGAAGACAGGAGGCGGTTCACAAGAACCGGACCTGCTGCCCTATGAAGAGGAGCTCCTGCAGTTCCTGGGAAGAGAAAACCTCCTTGGGATTGAGGGGACACCTGGCACTGAAACATCTGAAGGTACGATGTTAAAGGACCACTATAGTGCCAGGAAAACAAACTCGTTTTCCAGGCACTGTAGGGTAATTAGGTCCCTCCCCACCCTCGTGGCCCCCTTCCCACTTCAGCCACTTACCTTTCTCCAACCCCTTCAGCCACTTACATTTCTCCAGCGCAGGGCTCCCTCGGCGCTGGGGAACACTCCTCCCTCTGCCGACGTCAGCTCCGAATGCGCAGCAAGAGCCGTGCACGCATTCAAACCACCCATAGGAAAGCATTACTCAGTGCTTTCCTATGGACGTCCAGCATCTTCTCACCGTGATTTTCACAGTGAGAATCGCGGAAGCGCCTCTAGTGGCTGTCAGTGAGACAGCCACTAGAGGCTGGATTAACCCTCAGTGAAACAGCAGTTTATCTAGAACTGCTATGTTTTCAGCTGCAGGCTTTAAACTAGAGGGACCTGGCACCTAGACCACTTCATTGAGCTGAAGTGGTCTGGGTGCCTATAGTGGTCCTTTAAATTCATATTTGTTAGTCGAAATGTACATATATCAGTTTGCTTGTGTTAACCTTCCAATGTGTGTTTTCTATGCCATCAGTGCAAGCCCCTCAATCCCCAGAAGAGGCACCAGGAACTGCAGGAGATGCTGTCTCCACGGAGAGCGGGGCAGCAGGTTCACCTCCTGTCTCCCTGGAAATGCGCCTGGCTTCACTTTCCTCTCGTAAGTACTTGCATAGCATTGTTAGATAAATGTTATGTGTGTGTGTGTGCGTGCGCATTTAAACATACACACACGTATGTGATTTTACTGTATATGAAGTTAATTTATCACATACATGTATTTCAGGCCATCCGCAACTTGTCGACGTTTCTTCACCACGTACGAGTGTGGTTTCCCTCCAACAGCCGGCCACTGGTGTCCAGGAACAGGGATCCACTGCTGAGCGTAAGTAAAAAATGCTTTAACTGTACACATTTTCTTTGCAGGCATACTAGTTTATGTAACAGGCGGGGCCGGGTCGACCGCAAAGCATACTAAGCATCTGCCTAGCATGTGCTGGCCAGGGGGCTAAATGTCTGGGTGACCAGCAGGGGTGGGGGGGAGCTCACATTGCTCCTCTCCTTCTGTTCACTTTATGTACTGTGGCTGAGTGGACCACGTGTGATCTTATCTACCATCTTCTTGGCCTGACAGGAAGCTGAGTGCAACGATCAGCTTCCTGTCATGCAGAAAAAACAGGAGATTCTCTACCTGGGGACGCTCGTCCACGATACATGTAGTGAGATTAGAAGGAAAGGGAGGTGGGCACAAAGACATGCAAACAGACAGAGAAAGGGCTAGGGGCGACAAAGATGCATAACTATACTTAGACATAATAATAAATTAATAGCATGACTGCATATATCTTATTTCCAAGTTTAAATAATATTGTTTTACAGATAATAGTAAGCATTGCAACATATGACACATGCTAACAATGTTCTTTCTCTGTTCTCCCCTATAGGTTCTGATGGTACTCTCCCCCTGCAAGAGGAGGGTACCATTACCCTAACAGCAGTGGATCCTGAGTCAGAGACATCAGTGGCCGAAGAAATGCCACAACTTCCTCCACCATTGGCTGCGCTGTATGCGACGATCCAGGCTCGTCAAGATGAACTGGAGACGTCCATACAGCAGGATAGGGAGAATCAGCGAGAACTATTGCAGAATGTAATAACCGAGGTACGCTCCATGTCGAATATTTTGAATGAGGGCGTTAGGCAATTTACATCAGCAATGGTTTCCTTGCAGCAAAATATGCAGCGCTTTATGGAAATGAGGGAGGAAGAGTGCATTTTAATGCGCGCGCAAGCTGCCCATAATTTGGGCATAACCATCGCTGATGTAGATAGCCTAGTTCATGAAAGACGTGCGCAGGGTCTTCCCAGAAGGGATGATGATGATGAATAGATATCTGTGGGAAGAATGCACTCAGATGTTTATTTCTCATTATCATCCACAATGTGAACACAACTGACGCTGTTCATCGTAGGTTGTTACATTCTCAATTTCCTCCTGGTTTTCCCTATCCTTCCCCTGAATATACATTGGGTATTCTCCTCTGCACTATATCCTCCCAGGACTGCTCCTAACAACCTGGGCTGCCTCTGCTTTGTTGCTTCTCCCACTTGCTTTTCTAAATAAAAAAAAATATTGGATTACAACTTCTGACTCCTCTTTTCTTTAATAATTTTTATATATATATATACATACATACACACACACACACTTGAAAAAATATCACTATATATAAATAAAAATAATTACAAAAAATATATATACACATAAAGCAAATAGTGAACAGAGCACTCCTTAGGAAATTTTCAATTGTGTATTTTAGTAATCTTGATTACTTATTAAATACATGATTGAAAATTTCCTAAGGAGTGCTCAATTCACTATTTGCTTTATGTTTGGCACTAGAAGCACCCAGGTATTACAAGTTATATTTTTTAATGATGGTGAGTGTCGGATTATATATATATATATATATATATATATATATATATATATATATATATATACAAACACGTGTATATATATATATATAATAATTCTATGTATATATTTATGTAATAGTTTTAAATAATTAGGTCATTTTATTAATTACAATTTGCAGGACCTGACTGACAACCCAGGCCAAAAGTCCAGGGAATTTAATTTGCTAGCACTGTATATAACCCTGTAACTTTCTATGACACCATACAACCTGTACATGTGGGGTACTGTTTTACTTCACTGAACACAAATTTTAGTGTTTCAATGTATTACAACGATGCTATCGTCAGTGAAAGTGACATTTTTTACATACAAATGGCACTTACCTGGACGAGATAATTGTTGTGATACGTTTTACTGTTTTGAAACACTAATTTTGGTGTTCAGCGAAGTCTCCTGAGTATAACAGCATCCCTCATGTACAGGTTTTATGGTTGTTACGGATCGACGGGCACCCTGACTGGGTACCTTCGTTGGAGGATGCACCTAGTGCTTCCTGGGGCTTCCAGCACTCCAGCTGACACCATAACCACCGTAGAGTCCTTCAGAGCGCAAACCAGGAACAAGCTCTTACAAGAGTTTAGGAGTGATTATAGCAAGGGAACATGCAGGGCATAGCAATCCCTAGTAGCAGATTCCCCCAATAAGAGACAGGACTCAAATTGAGTGTGAAGAAGAAATGAAGATTTTAATGAGACACTGCTTTTATGAACATTTTGCACACATAGTACTGCCCACAGGGTTTTGTAAAACAACCAATCAATACGTACAATACACTCCCAGAAATTACAGACAAAATCCTCCCCTCTGCCTGTGACTTAATTTCCTTACACAATGGGTTAATGTAATTATAACTGGCAGAGAAACACCATTTTTACACATGTACTATAACTTTAAAACTACACATTCAATATTCATAAAAATGACATATTATTAATCAGCATACTTTAATTATAAACATAGTCAAAATTCAGCCAATTCCATGCAGGGGTTAAAAATTTAGCTGGAGGTCCCTTTTTTTACCGACCGCAAGCACATTTTCCTGCCCAAAACAGTTCCATAGATTTGGGCTGTGCGGTCGGTAAATTTCACACTGAAAAAATGACTAAGTCCCATCGCCGAATGGGACTTAGTCTCTGCGGCTGCAAAATCATTGTGGGAGAAGGTAAGGCTCAGCGGTGTTCGCGGAACTGTGTAGCCGATTTCAGTTCCATGAATTTGGCTACACACACCGCTGACCGCATAGAATGAACAAAGATGGCCGCCGACACGTTTTTGTTTGCACGAACGGCGGCCCCCCAGCGTTCGGCAATAAGTCCCATCGCCGAATGGGACTTAGTCTCTGCGGCTGCAAAATCATTGTGGGAGAAGGTAAGGCTCAGCGGTGTTCGCGGAACTGTGTAGCCGATTTCAGTTCCATGAATTTGGCTACACACACCGCTGACCGCATAGAATGAACAAAGATGGCCGCCGACACGTTTTTGTTTGCGCGAACGGCGGCCCCCCAGCGT